CTGCACTAGTTGTAGAAATTTACATACACGTTGAAGTGCACACGGAGGAAACAAGTTTTGCCGGAACAGCAAATTGTTTGTTAATGTAGTGGCAGAAACAAATTTGTTACACGGGAAAAATAATTTTGCTGTTGTAGAAAAAAGTCGTTGCGTCGATGCGACAGCAATAAAATTTAGTTGACCAAATTATTTTGCCGTCCATATATCCAGCAAATAGCAATTAAAATTTTAACTAATCTTCCCGCTGTCCAAACAAATTTTTTTTACTATCACTATATTAACCCTTGAATGCATAGTGTTGCAAATTTGCAACATATTTATTTTTCCACGTATAAAATACTCATCCTCAGGAATAATTCATAACGCTTCATAGTTATATATTTGCAACGATCTGCTTTAAGTATACAATTCAAAGTTATGCTGCAAAATGTCTTTTGTGCACAATGTTGCATTTTTGCAAGTACGAAAAATTTTGAAAATAAAGAGAATTTTTTTTTACTTAGATTTTTAAAAATATTTTTCTCATTTTCTGGGACTACCTGTGAACCTAAAAAAAAAAAATAATTCAGTAATAAAAAAAAATTCATACATTTAAGGGTTAACGAGCAATTTGCTGTTCTTGCAAAATTTTTCCTCCGTGGCATGAAGCGTACGTACGAGATTCTTAAGCTTCGATTGTGCGTACATTTTTTTTTAACTAATGCAGCCAATTCAGTTAGAAAGAACAAACCAAATGTCCCTCGTCGGGATCGGCCCGGAATCAACACGACTCCGTGCTTATCACCGCGACACACACTACACCGACACTACCTCGAGACAATCTTATCCGAGAGGGCGGGGGAAAATCGGTCCCCGGCGAAAGATTTTTGACAGTCGTCGCTCGTCCACGCGTCGTCGGCACGCGAATCACGCGCGCGCGCTCTCGAAGGCGAATCGAGCCGCGAGAGGAACCGCGAGCGCACCTGTACATAGGTATCCAATTTTCGCCTGCTGCGCCGGAGCGTCCTGTTCGGAGCGGGAAGGGACGAAATCGAAGAGACAGATCGGCTTCGCGAAAGATGACGAGAAGCGCGCCAAGACACGTTCGATTCGACAGTTCGATGCGAACTGACCATCGCGTCCCATGCCAGCCACGCCATGCCACGCTATACCATTCCAATCCGCCACTGTTCCATTCGGTCTTATTTCGTGACCTCTCTCTCTCTCTCTTTCTCTCTCTTTCTTTCGTACTCTCGAGACACGACTCCTTCCTCCCATCGCTCCCATCACTCGGGCTTTCGTCGTGTCGCTACGTTCACAGCCAGCTATCTCTGCCGGTTGCGTATCGATGCGCCTTGCCGGCAATTAGTTCGTTAAGATAAAGGATCAAAGGGAGAAAAGAAGAGATGTTTTTTCTATCTTTGGTTTCTTCGATGAGACCAACGATTTGTGATATAGGACGCACTCATGTCGCGTCATATTCCGTGTCGACGATTCTTCGCGAAACATACGAGTGTACACACAAAGTGTGGAGAATTGCCCGCGAACCTATTGCCCTCTCCTGACACTTTCTTCCTCGAATTGTACTCGCATTCCATTAGAACGGTAGAATGCTCTAAGCGCGACGCCTCCGTCATCCGTCGGGCGAGTGCGTTTCCAAATCGGCGAGATGGCCGATGACGCGTCGTTTAACCGTCGTTAATGAACGTTACGAGAAGTCACCGCCTTTTGTCGTCTTCGGGTATATTCGTCTCGCTAACTACGTGGCGTATACGGTGTGTAGTAACTCATAATGTCAAAATTTTCTGCACGCGGTAAAAATGTTTGTCTGTTCTATGAAATTGCGCGATATCACTGTGCATAAAAAGAAAAAGATTTCTTTAGACGAAATTAAAGATTTATTTAACATATGTATTTGTTTCACTTGGGTTTGTTTAAACAATGAAACAACAATTTGGTATCAAATAATCATGTTGTTTGAATGAAAATGTTACCTCACATTGTAAACTATGCTGTTTGATAGAAAAAAATAGTATTATTTGGAAATAATAATATTGATTTTTCAGTAAAAAGAGATTTGTTTCATTATATATTAAATAATGTTCTACTGAAAACGAGAATTTCTTTAATATTTTCCTAACATAATATTACTTCTTTCAAATAATTTATTGCTTGCGACAACCATTGCAATGTTTGGATGAAAATACACAAAGAAAATATATATGTCATTTGATGTAAAGATATTTATTGTTTGGGAAACCAAACGATTCTGTTTGTTAAATTCGTTTGTTTGCTCCATTCCAAAAGTCAGATTTGTTTTAATTAAAGAAGTTTCATTCAAAGAAATCTTTTCTCTATGCACGATTTAGGATTTTATCGTGCAAAGTACAACTTAAATCTTTCCAAAGCAAACGTGTCTCGAGAATGCAGAATCACGTCTACTATAACAAAAAAATTGTTCATCTCACTAAAAATTGTAGTTATTTTTTTCATCATTTTGTAGCCATTAACTATACTGTCGTTGTTCTGAAAAAAGTAGTAGCATCAATATACATATAAAATTATTGTACATGACACTGTGGTTGCATTTACTGCAACAAAACATTTTCTGACAATTATTTCACACTGAGAGAAATCCTATGAAAATTAGAGTAATTTTCGGCCTATATTTTTCAACCTGAAAAATAGCAGTAGCAATATGCGTATAAGGTTACTATGACTGACACTACAGTAATGCTTCCTGGAAAAATGGTTCTCTCGACTATAATTCTCTACATGTGTGCGATTATAAATACAAGTTACCAAAAATTATCTTCTCAGTGCGCTATACAACGATTACAGTCGCCGACACTGAACGCTTTTTTCCCAGCGCGCTCTTCGCGCAAGCGTGGCATCGCGACGCAACTTTTGACGGCTCGCTCGCCGCGTGACTTCGGTCTACGCTAAGTGGGTGACTTTCTGACCTAATCGCCGCTAATTTCATTCGCTTGACATGGTCGTCGTGCGAATCCGTAGCGCGCTATGGGTCTCACCGGTTCGTTCGCTCGCGTTTTTACACGAGAGTCGTAGAGCATCGGAGAACTCGCCTACCTGCCTGCCTGTCTGTCGCGCTCCAAATACCTGTTCAGCTCTACCCACCTGCCGTGATTATGGCTCGTGGCGTCCCACGTGAATCTAGCCGCGGATCGCGACGTGGGGGGAACTTCGCGCTACCGCCGTGAGAATCCATTTTTTCCGCCCGTTGCCGCTCTTTCCGGCTGCCCTCGATCGGAATTCCCGAAGCCGTGCGACGACAAATCCTTCCTTCCTGCCTGCCCGTCTACCGTATCCCGCGATAAACGTCCGCCCGAGAGGATCGTTCGCCCGGAAACGTACGAAGGATCACTCGAAAATCCATAGCGTCGACGTTCCGCGAGTTTCAAGAACGATCGCGAGAGAGACGAATGATAAGAATCCTCCCGATACAATCGCGTCTCGTTAACGTCGCCGACTGATAGAAAAGCACACGGATAATACGAAGCACGTTTCTCCAACGAACGCACCGGTCCCCGATCGATCGTTACAGTCCACCGACTTCGCGGGCAATACCATGTAGTCGCGCGGCTCCTCTTCGCGCGATACCTCCAAGGTGATCGTTGATCATCGTGGGGTCGATAAATCGCGTGATATCCGTTCGACGGAACGGCACGACTCAGAGCGGTGTCGACGGTAGCGAGGAGAAACGAAGGAAAACGTAAAAGTACGAGCGGGAGAGAACGAAGAAACGCGGAACCGCATGCGTCGCGAACGACAGCCCGCGCGAGACTGCCGGCCGATGACGACGCATCGTCTTTGGCATTCGGCTTGGATGGGCAAGGTAGACGGATGGATGGGTGGATAGATAGATGGATTAATGGATAGACGGCTGGGGACGGGAAGAGACCGCCGTCCAAGTTCGAGGGGGCGCGGTTTCTGGCTTTTTAAACACCCGAGCGTCTCGTTCCACCAATTAAGCGCCGCACAAGTTCCGTTCCAGTTGCGGAAGAGAGTCCCCGCTGCCGGGTCGTCCGAAGTCGCGCACGCCGAGTTTCGCGAGGAAGCTTTACCGACCTACGAGCGGAGACTCGGAGATTCAAAGATGCAGTATCGGTCGTTTTAATTGATTTCCCCGCTTTTGTTTTTACCACTCGATAAACACGCGCGCGACACGCCGCATTATCCCACTGTATATATATATATATATATATCTGTCGTGCATACATAAGCGCGCGCGCGCACACACACACACACACGTGTGTGTGTGTGTGTGCGCTTATGTTATGCACGACAGATAAGATTAAAAGTGTCACCGCGGAGATCGATTAGTTTGTTTACTAGAAATCCCGAAAGCTCAAGCCGACGTGTTTTCGCGCGAGAATCTCGCCCGATGAATGTCAATGTCAAGCACGAAGCTAGCGAATTCGTCGTTTTCCTCCCGTCATCGGGCCGTCGTAACTCATCTATGTGTAAAATTGCAGCGCTGATTAATTAGTCGACCGAACGTCACGCCAATAAAAAAATTGTCGAAGATAATAAATATCACGAATTAAAAAATAATAAATGTTACGCAATAAACAAAACAATAAGAAATGTAAATAATATTGCCATACAAATAAAAATTGGTAATAAAAGACGGCAATGTGCGCATGTGTTTTGTGTGTATACATATGTGGGTGTGTGCGCGTGTCGATGCATATTCGCGATGGAGCTCTTCCCAAAGTGTACGACAGCGGACCACCGCGGGCTGTGCATGACGTAATGCGCATTTCTGGACTAGACCGTGACATTGCATAACAAAATGCATTAACCGCGTATCGCGATACGCAAGTAGCACGAGCCATCCCATTTGTCTAGCCGTCCGACACATAGTGCCATATATTGTCGTCTCATCGTAATTACAAGCTTCTTACGAGCGCGACCATGTACGCTTTACGAGTCTATTAATACTCTAACGCGCTTTCTAACACTATACGCCTGTATAAGAGCCAAGCACACGACGAAATAATCGATCTGCTTGCTCGGAAAGCAGTCGGAAAATAATTCGCCCGTGGTAGGCAGGTTTCATCAACGTCGGCTACCGTTAACCACGATGGACTTCCCACCCGATCTTTCTATCGCTTTGCCGATCGACCGTCGCTAACGACACCCTTTGAATTCATAAATTCTTCCCGTTTTATCGAAGAGTTCCCACCAACTCTATCGAAGCTTGGAAAGATAAACTTGACCTGGTCAAGTTCGCAGAAAACGCGTTCATCTGCATCTATACTTCGGCCGAAGTCGAGGATTTGCACAGAAATTAGACAGCGATGTGACGTACGCGGAAGAGGACGCGGTGAAGGAGAGAGCGGGGAAGGAGGAGGAAGAGAGAGACGTCGAGGGGGACACAAGCGGAGCGTTTCGAGGAGCGGCGTGCGTACTTGGTCGTGATAATGCGTGTGCGTGCGAGCGTACGTCGTCGTAAACGACGCGGTGCAAGAAGGATCGCGAGGGATAGACAGAGATGGAAAAGCAAAGAGCACCGTCGTCGCGTCGTCGTCGGCAATGAGTGCGCCGCGCGGGGAGACCTTGACGGCCCGAGGAGGTCTCGCTACCATTTTCGCCGGACGTGGTAGTGGGTCGCAGGTGTGGACCAACCGACCGACTACCATACACCGGTGCCATAGGCCACGCAGGGTGGGGCACCACGAAAGCGGCGCGAAGGGACGCGAGCGAGGTTCTTCCGCGAGGGAGAAGAAAAAGTGCGAAGGTGTGGAGCGACGGAGTTCGATCGTGAAGCCCGACCCGTAAAAATCGCACGAACGCGCTCTCGACGTCTCTCGTGAGTGAAGTCTCCCTCGAGAGACGAGCGTAAAGTCATTCGAAGCGGCAGTGAAAATACCGCCACTCGGAGTCGCAAGAGAGTGAGTTTTTTACCTCTAACCTCAGAATGAGTTCTTAATTAAATCAAGCCAACTGATTAAGGTGAATCTGTTCCTGCGACGGTGAGGTACGACAGAGATTCACTCTTTCAATTTCGAATAGAAACGTTCACGTGATTTAGAGAGGAAAAATAATATTAACTTCATTGCGTATTTGCTACATACGTATGTATACAGAGAAAAAAAAACATGTCCTGGGTTTCATGAAATTTCTTTAATTGAAGCGAATTTGTCTTTTGGAATAGAGCAAACAAACGATTACTTTATCTAAAAAATCTAAATAATACTGTTTTTCCTATCAAAAATAACATGGTTCACTCTAGTGAAACAACATTTCATTCGAATAAAATGATACTTAATATTAAATTATGTTGTTTATATTAAACAAACCCAAGTGAAACGCGTGTATTAAATTCCAAGAAAATTTTTCCTCTGCGTGCAAGTATCGTGAGTGTAATTGGCGAGGCAAAAGTACGAGCTTATGCTCTAAATCAGAAAGAAATCAAGGAAAGTGACGAGATTACAAATGTATTTCGTACGAATAAAAAGTTCCTCGATCTGGATAAGAGATTCGATTATCATTCCGCCTTTCGAGTGAAATTTCCCTCGGTGAACTTCAGAATGCAGAAAATCGTGCGCACATTATCACATACTCCCGCGCTTCTCCAACGTTCGCCGCGAGGCTCGCGAACAAAAATCGCGATATTACGCATCACGCGCGCACGCACACACGCACGGTTGTATCGCGGGTCTAGTTTTCTGCCAAACTAGAGCGCGCCGTGCTAAAGATAGGTACTCGTTGCAGGCAGAAATCGGTGTGCATCCACACTACCGGCGCAGGGAACAAGGGCGACCTTGGCCTTACGAGCTTATATAACGAGGAAACGGCCGATTCGCGAGCTCAGTCGTTTCGACCTATCGACGCGACGACGTGTGCAACCGATATACACGCGATCCATCTTAACGGTACGCGTTTTTCCGCAACGATTTTCACGCCGTCTGCCCCCGATCGCGCGTTCCCGCCGCGAGTAACGAGTCGAGTTCCGGAAGAACCGCTGGAAGAAAATCGGACACGACCGCGACTTCGCGTGTTTCCACGTGAGCGTGAAATGTGTCGTTAGTGCGTTTCTTGCTGAGCGTCACCTGTGCGCGCCTCGCCGAACGCGAGGCATCGGACCGAGCATTTTCTCCGCTCGAGCGTTTTTCGCGCTCTTCGCTCGAGTCACCGTCGGATCGCGCTCGCCGAGCCGTCTCAGGCGCGTTTCCCTATCGCGGGAATAATTATCGTCGGCGTTGTCGGATGTCGCGCGCCACCACGTCGGAAACTCGGAGCGATTAACGAGGAGGTTGCTGAAAATGCATTCGACGACGAGCGAGGTCGAAGTCGCGCGATCGGAAAAATATAGGAGCCATTAAAGGAGCGGCCGCGCGCGCGGCCACTTCGGCGGGTCGCGCCGTCGCGGTGGGGGATCCCGTCGCGGAAAATCAACGTCTCTTCTTGGCAGAAACGGAGGCAGCTCTCGTGGGTGGCAGCGGGCACGAGTCTCTCTCTCTCTCTCTCTCGCGCGCGCGTGCCCCCGACTCTCGGCGCTCTTCCGCTTTTTTGACAGTTGCGAGCGTCAGTGCCGCGCGACGCATCGCAGCGCCCGCCGACGTTATTTACGACGACGTTCATTCGCCCACGGTGAGTGTTTTGACTTCGAAACGAAGCTTTGAGAGCGGCGGCATCGCGTCAACACATTGGCTCACACCGCGATCTGATATCCGCGTCGATTACGCAAAAGCCTGACCGATGATTCAATTATCGAAGAACATAAATGTAAATCGAGATACATCGATCTTTCGCTTCTCGTCGGCTATCACGCGAGCAATTTCGTTTCGATGCAATTAATTGCACGTCCTTACGTATTTCCTCCACGTACTTCACGTGTATAACTTAATGAGACGTGATGGCATCGCGACGTTACGACATCCAACGTGCTAACGAACTGCTAAACGTAACGAAAAGTAGCGCGCGAGAGGCGCACGAGTACTTTTCCGAGTTGCTTCTTTCTCAAAAGGTCCGCTCTTTTTCGCCGAACTGGCTGCACCAGCTCGTACCAATTCTCTTCTCCTCTTTCTGCCACCAAGTCTTGACCGTATGTCGTCCCTTTGAAGTTCCGTAAGGGTATATTAGCTTAGCGGAAAAAAAACATCTAAAAGAATCTCCATTAAAACTTGACGCGTTCGCGTCACACATGTGCGACAGCAACAATTTGTTTTTCCATGTTCACATCACCCGAGTCTGTTTCACACGATTACGTAAAAAGAAATAAAAAGATACGAGGTGGTCTGCGGCAAGAGTCCTTCGCGCGAACCTTGGCGGCAAACACGTTAACACTAGAACTACCAAAGCAGTCAAAAATGACCAGCTTATAATTGTTTCTTACAAAAGTTACTCCAATTTCTAATGGTGCATTCTATGATTTCCCATAATTTTTTACGCAATGTGCAAGCGAATAAATATTTTTTTCCTCTGCATTACGTACTTTCTCGAAAATCTGATTTAAACTGCTCCGATAGAAAGATACACGTTAATTGTCGGTAGTTTTAGTACTAAACTTCCTTTTTTCCTTTCATTTATGCGTTAACCCGGACGTTATCGCGTCATTTTATGTATGGTCTCGCGATATCGATATCCCATTAAATCCAACTGTCGTTCCGCAGGCGAGTCACCATTGCTCACGATCACGAGGAAGGATGGTCAGTTCGATATTACTGCTTTGGGCGTTGGTCGGCCTAATTGGCCGAGTGCACGGCAAATGCAGCTTAGCACCGATCGCCGACAACGAGCGGTCGATCGCCTACGCGTGCATCCACGGCGACCTGAGCGACCTCGACGAGCTCTCCAGCGAGACCGAGTGGATAGAATTCTCGGTGTCGCGCTTCCACGAGATCCCGAACGATGCGTTCCAGCGATTCCGAAATCTGCGCCGTTTGTCCTTCTACAACTGCCACGTGAACGTCATCGGGCCGGACGCGTTTCGGAGCCTGCATCGGCTCGACTGGCTGATATTCCATGGTACGCGGATCCACGCGGCCAGGGCCGCGTGGTTCCGACATCTACCGAATCTCAGGAAATTGATTCTGGACAGGTATACCGTCTCTCACGGTTTAATCCTCTTGGCAGAGCTACGCGTCGCTCTCTAAATGTCTCCGAGTGACATTCCGCTCGGAAAGTAGACTGCCTGTCGAGTCGTTTGACTTTTCACCCGTGTAGAGCGAATCCTTCACTCTGAAGATCGAGTGAATATTTCCATTGAAAGTCGAAGAGTTAATCGAAAGTGTACACTGGGTTTCAAAACGGTTTGAAAAGTTTTCTTCTCAAGGAATACGGCAAACTTAGTGTCTGGGAATTAATTAAAAACAAATTATCTCACTGGACTATCGTTTCGAAGTGTATCGGAAAGACTATTCAAATCATTTTGAAACCAAGTGTACTCCGCTGTCGCAGAAACAAATTCACTCTAATTGATTGAAACGTTCGGTCTTATGGATTAAAAATCTATTTTAAACTTGAATTAAAAATTCATTTTTGCGTGCACAGGGAAAAAATTTCGGCTCGCATAACTGAATAGGAATCCGATGAAAACTCGGTGAAAAGAGATGAAAAGTCGGTGACGAGAAGTAAAAATTCCGAGAACATTCGTGTGAGCATTCAGCTGCGTTAAAACCTGGCTGAGACAACCGAGCACAGAAATCTACGGGAATTTTTCTATTCGTACAATTGAGTTTTCGTCTGATCCTCGGGCGACAGAAAATTCACTCGCACTAACTGAAGTTGTTTTTCCATGTACGGTACGAAAATGCGCGGATCAACGTGACGCATAAAACGCACATTTGTTCCAGATGCGGCCTGGTGCACGTCGAGCCCGACGTTTTTCGCATGCTGCCACGAGTCGAGACTCTAGGCTTGCGCGATAATGACCTCGATTGTCTGCCGGTGGAGGAGCTGTCGCATATGAGGATGCTCAGGGCCGTGCGTATCGACGGTAACCCGTGGTGGTGCGAGTGCCGTATGCGGCTGGACCGTTTCTTCCGCGAGAGATCGATCATTCAAGAGGAACGATGCAAGCTCCAGCCGGGTGTACACCGGAGTCTGCAGTGTATGACGCAGATCGACATCCCGATCTTGTTTCCAATAATAACTGTCGAGCAGATCGAGGGTTACGAGGTGAGTTGAGATATTGAATTTAATCAATCGAATATTTCCCCTTCGCGTCCGCGATATCTCAGAAAACAGCTTGTTGATATATCGAGCGTTCGAGTGTCGCGATAGCGAGGCAATAAGCCGCGCGAGTCGGTGCCGTCTTATTTTGCCGATATCACGTTTCAGCCGAACTGTGGTCGCGGAATGACAGAGAAACGGAGATGATTGTGATAGCGTGCTGCGATGTATCGCGGCCTTTATTACCGCGATTGTGCGTTATCGTCTATCTAGAGAGCCTCTTTTATCATCCGTGACGAGGGGAGAAAATCAGAATTTAACGCACAGATTCGCGAATAATTGCCAATTAAAGACGTACAATTGCGCATCTAATTATGCTACAATGTCGTTATACGCTATACTTTAACTCTTAATCACGTTGACACAAATACCAAATACCAAAACGCAAAGAAACACGACTACCAACAACAATTAGAGATAGGGTTGGGTAAATTGAAAGTTAATAATAATAATTATGCGAAATTAATACATATAAATCTGATCTGACTATTCTTCTTCTAAACTATATGTAGTTTTGCATAATTAAATTTTAACTTTAATAAGTTAATTTAACTTTTACTTAAACTTTTAATTAGTTTTTGTTTAGATTGCTTTTAATTTAACTAAATTAATTATACAGACCGTTAACTTTTAACTTCACTTGAAAAATTAAATTAATTAAAAATAAGTTAATTTACTTAACCCTGGTTAGAGATGACGCAATACCGTATTTATATCATTGTGACTGAAATTCGACAATATTTCAACAACCACACGTCGTACATACGTAATGTAAAAACGACACTCGTATGGCATCAATTTCTGTTTTTTTTTCTTCAATCGATCATTTTTTATCGGTCCAACGTCCAAGAAATATCCCAGAAATGTGATATCGCGATTCCGTAGAAAGACTTGCCCATTCTCGTGCAATGCGTAGTACACAAGACATTGAATTGACAATTCAATCGACTCACCTTATCGTATGATAACGTCGCGTTGTCGCCATCTCCACGGTGGACTCTCGAACATCCTCGTCGAGCATCATCGTCCTCCCTCAGCGGCTTCTCTCGCGTTTTAACGGTGATACGCAAGTTCTTCTTGCGATCGTCGGGAATCACACGCGACATGTAAACCGACGACCGATTGACACACGTTTATCGTCACTCGCGGACACACTTCGACGAGAAAAAATAAGTCGCACACTCCACGCGAGGGTCGTTCGCGATTGTCACGGTGACTGGTCTTTTATTTCTGTCATCTGACGGTTATTGAGCGACACGCGACTTCGTCGTACGAGAATGATCCCGCAGAGACACGCACTAACTTGCGCGATCACAGGAAACGCGCCGGGTAGGTCAGGATTACACGAGAGAGCGCGATGCGTCGGCTCGTTTTAATCGTCGACGTAACGACATTGCGATCGCGCGGACCACGGGAACGTTGATCACTATCCGAACGCGAACTTGCGTGCAGCGCGCGAGTCACGTGACCCGTCGAACCATTATCCCGATTGGCCTGCCGTCGCGCACTGACGAAATCGCGCGCGCGATATGCAATCGAGCCGATATGCGAGCCGGCGCGGACGGCCGAGCAAGCAAACGAACGAACGGGCGACGCAGATGTCGCAACGTGGACCGTTAACTGTCACGCGTCTGTTTGGAAACATCGCGCGCCCTAAGGTTACCCCGCACGATCTCCGCCGGCGTCTCCCGTGATTACATCCGCCCGGCTGCACCGCCGAGCATAGAGCCAATCGACGGAGACGTAAACAAAAACGTAGGGCCCGTGTCAGATTGGCCGCGTTCAGCAGAACGTTTATTTTACACAACTATCGGAAGTTTTGCTGTGCTGAGATAGGATTGTTCCTCTGGATCTAAAAGGACAATCCAATCTCAGTATAGGAGATTGAGAATTGCGGATTGGAGACTAGGGGCAATATTAATAATCAGATCTTGTATTTAACCTATGACAGGTGTCACGCATTCACGCGCACAAAAATGCATCTTCCGAAAAGTACTGAAGAACACTCATCTTATTCCTTTATCTTCTCATTTGTGTATTTGTTAATTAGGGGCTACCCTCGTCCGTTTTAAAAGAAATCTTATGATTGCTGTTTCCATGTAAAAAAAGAAATATTACTATTTAGAACAATTTTTTTTTTTATTGAAAATGTCAATTTAAAAATGGAGCACATCCATGCGACCACTCGTATCGCATTTAGGTACACAACTACTTCAAGGTTTAGACCACTCGTATCGCATTTAGGTACACAACTACTTCAAGATGACCTTGGTTCATCTTCAGATACTGTACGCATCGTTTTATCGGCCATAAGACATCTGAGGATGAACATAAGACGATTTTAAATATAGAATCCGACTATGAATATCGCTTTAGATGTAGTATTTACTGTTCAGCCTTATATTTAAAGTCGTCTCAGGCTTATTTCAAGGCGCCGTGCAGCCAATGAAAGGACTCTAACAGTCCACTTCAAGATGAGTTTCAGGCGATCATAAATCATTTCCTTCAGTGCGAAGTCGTGAAAAGTGACAATTGTCTAGCTTGAAATTTGAAAATGTTCACTACTTACAAGTTTATAGTAAAAAATATATGATCGCTCCTTAAATATAAGATCGGTCTACGAATGTCGACTTAGAATTCAACGAGTTAACTAATTTGAGTCTTACAGCTCGCTTTGCCCTGGTCAAATTTCAATGTCGAATCTCAATCTCGGGTACGGTACGTAGACGATACGAAATTGTAACGCGAACGGGACAGGGAGGAGGGAAAACAGCGAGACGAACCGTCGATGTGTTCCGAACGAGGACGAACTTCCGACGCTATCGCTGTGTGGCATCTCTCTTTCTGCGCGTGTTTCAGGAGCGGCGTCACAGCAACCGCTTCCAAATGAGCGCGCTGACATCGCTGGACCGTTTGCCGGACAGGAGCACGTGGATCGAGATCACGGGGCTGCGGATCAATCATTTGCCCGAATATGCCTTCTTCCGCTTCGGCAACAGCCTGCGCATCCTCGAGCTGCGCAATTGCTCGATCGACGTTATCGAGCCCGGCGCGTTCGCCGGTCTGCATCAGCTGCAGCGCCTCGTGCTCATTGGCAACCGGCTGCCCGCGGTAGCCGCCCATTGGTTCGACGATCTCGTGGCGCTGCAACAGTTGGTGCTCGCGCGCAACGCCATCCAGCGCATCGAGCCAGGCGCGCTGCGCCCGTTAGCCAACAGCCTGCGCCATCTGGACATGCGATACAACCGACTGCAGTGCCTGTCGCCGGACGAGCTGACGGATTTGCGACAACTCGAGCGACTCGACGCTGTCGGTAACCCGTGGAACTGCGAGTGCCGCAGGAACCTGCACAGAGCTTTGATGGAGCGGAAAGTGGGCTTCGAAATTAGCGGTGGTCGCTGCTACGAGAACGGAAAGGAGGTCGGCGAGCCGACCGTTGGCGACGACCGAGGGCAGCATTGGCACGTAAGTGGGCGATTCTATTGTATACGATTATCAGTATCTTTATGCGCTAAACTGATAACTTCATCCGAGGAGACAATTGGTTTTGGCTCTTTTGCATTTAATCAGGCGAGTCTTTAAAGTATATAGTTTTGGTAGTATTAATGCCCTCGGATCGTAAAAATTCTATCGCAAGTTATCGTTCATTGTACATCGTGCTCTGTATTGTAAGTTTCTCAGGTGTACATCATGTATTTATTATAATAATTTATGAGAACTCTCGTACATTTTACAAGTGTACTAAAACTTTCTGTAATAACATAAATTTTGTATTAATTAACCGGATGGGTAAAAAACCTCCCAGGTTCCTTATATATTCTTAGTAAAAAAATGTGATCTTATGTATTGAATTCGGATATAAAAAATAGAACTCGAAAATGAGAGAAATGAAGTTTTTCATTTTCGAAAATCTTTGTAGCCTTTGTGATATCTTTATGTTTATATTTTGCGAAAGTGATCGCCTGAAATTGTTGGTAAAACACCTTCACATGAATTCACTAACTATTAAGCAAATAATAAAAACTATCAAGTCCGTCATCAGCTTTCTAATTTCTAAAAATGTTTTATTAATTCTTAGACCGTCACGACAACGACGACGAATATCGGCCAAGTGCGTTGGACTTCCTTCGAGGAAACGCTGCTCGAAAAGAACGTCACCGTGTTGAGACCGACCACTGTCGCTCCGACCATCCCAGTTTACACGGAGAGACCACATCCGCGTTACAGGGGTGTCTGCGTGCCCGACAAGACCGAGCGGTCGCGACAGGTGTATACCTGCAGCGGCATCACCTCGTTCAAGGAACTAGAGGTTGTACCACGTTCCGTCCATACCTTGCGCATCATCCTCTCGAACTTGAAGACGATCCCGACACGAGCGTTCGCTCGCTTCGATGGCTACATGTCCAGGCTAGAGCTACGCGACTGCGCCATCGAGAAGGTCGAGTATCGCGCTTTCGCCGACCTCTACAACCTGGAGTACCTGTCGCTGCACAGCAACCAATTGGAGTCCGTCACGTCTCACGCGCTGGAGGGTCTGACGAACCTACGGCAGTTGGACTTGTCGCGTAATCACATCTCCCATATCACGAACGACGCGATCGACCTGTTGTCGCAGCTACGCAGCTTGGACGTCTCTGAGAACTACATGAACTGCATCGGCGTTGAGCACATGGCGCGCAAGATGCCGCGTCTGATCGCCCTACGGGTTTCAGGCAACCCCTGGAGTTGCCTGTGCGGCACCAAGTTGGCCAGCTTCCTGGACACTCGTGGAATTCGCTACGACCGCGAGTCTTTGCTTGGCATGAACGACGACTGTTACGCCACCAACACGCCCACCGTGACACCCACGACGATAGCGACCACCTCGAAGAGCACCACCACCGAACCACCCTCGGTGCCCGTATACGAAGAGCCCGTCACAGGCTCCTGCACCGTTCAACAAGAGCCTGCGGGACTTCGATATCGTTGCATTGGCGGCAATCTGTCGCTGCTGAAGAGCATACCTCGCGACGTCGTCGCCATCGAGTTTCACGAGGGTCACTTGCCGCGCCTTCCGAACGGGTCTCTCTACAATTTCCCGAGTCTGCAAGAACTCGTCATTAGAAACTGCGGCTTGAGCACGATCGAGGCTGGCGCTTTCCGCGGTTTAGACTCTTTGGAGCGGCTCGCCATTCAAAACAACCCGCTGACGTCGATTGAGCAAGGCTGGTTCAACATAGAGCGTCTCGAGCGACTGGATCTGCGTGGCAACTCGATCCGATACATCGCACCGGGTGCTTTCCGACAGCTACCCAGGCTGGTATACCTGAATCTCGAAGGCAACGATCTCCAGTGCATCTACACGAGCGACCTGAGCGACATGTCGGGTCTGCACGTCGTCGAATTCGCCGGGAATCCGCTCAAGTGGCGCTGCCGGATGGACCTGGAGCAGTTTCTCGAGATGCGCAAGATCAAGTTCGTCAAGGTGGAGAACTCGTGCGAGGGCAAGAAGATCATGAGAAGTCTCCTGTATCAGAATCGCACCGGCGAGCCGTTGGAATGTCCGCCCAGCTGCTCCATCGCCACCGAGATCGAACAGGCGAAATGTATGACGTTCTTTGTTGCGTTTGCGATGCTCGTCGCAATGCGGATGCATTAATTGTCCATCCGGTTTTAACGACGACAGTTGAATCAGTCGCACGATTACGAATGTCGGACTAACACAATCGATGGAACACGAACGTAGAGTTAAGTTGGTAAACAAAACGGAATCTCGAGAGGAAATCTACCTTTATCGGTGAGAGAAGAAGGACACGCGGGTAGATTCGGTATTGTCAATGTTGTCATTCAATGTGTTCATCTGTGAAAACGCTTAAGCTGATAAATATGTATTTATTATTTCGCGAATATACCTGTATATTCGAACTTAGTCCTTTTAGAGTCCTTTTAATACTACCTAATATCGGTAACTATTTTAATACCGGGTAACATCGGAACGTAGGATATGACGCGCTATAGTTAATGATCTTGTTAGATTGCTTAGATTGTTAGTAACACACTGTGTTTGTCCGACAAGCTTTATTTGCGGGCGCTGCCGCGGTGATTGTTAAATGCGTCATAGGAGTGTAATTCAAAGGAATAGAGAACACAGTACGTGTAAAGTTTATACTGTAAAGTGTACGTCGACGATGATAAACGGAATCGAGTGCCATATAGATGTGAGTCAGTGCGACGCTAAAGCAATTCTCGTTTGTGTTCATTTTAATATACATGTATAAATATAGGGAGAGAAAACGATTATGTACATAATAAATATATTTATTGTCGAAATTGTAATAAGCTATTTGCTATTAAAATGTAACAAATTTCAATAAAAAATCTATTTTCTGCAGCAAGTATTTATTTTCTGCAGCAAATGTCTGCTTTCCCTATGAGGTTAAATATTTTCGTCATCTGTCGTTACTCTTACGCACGATTGGATTTAATTATGATAATATCAAAGAACAGTATAAACGTATTGATTGTAGAACGACCAGAGAATCAGTTATGTACCTTTTAAAGCAAACGTTTACCAAGTAGCCCGGCTAGCTCAGTCGGTAGAGCATGAGACTCTTAATCTCAGGGTCGTGGGTTCGAGCCCCACGTTGGGCGGAGTTGTTTTTGCTCTTTTTTTCAATAAAAATTAAATATTACAATTTCAGAAAGAGAAAACATACTAATTATATAAATTTTAACTTTTTTAATGCTTCTTAATTTTGTTGTAAAAATCGCGCGAGGAAGGAGTATTTCAAAAAGGTAATAAACAGATATTTATATTTATTATGGATATTTATTATACAATTTCGAACTTTATTTGATATAATATTACAGAAAATCACTAAGATCCGTATTTAATAATCATTATTATTTGAAACTTATTGCAGGTGAGATATTCAGATATGAATTTAGAGAGAATTTAGAATTTAGTTAGACTTAACTTTTCAGCTGAATTGCGCTTATACATGCAATGTCGCATACGTTATATGATTCGAATAAAACCATTAATTCCAATTCTAAATTCAGATCTGAGTATCTGACACAGGACAAGTTACAAATAACAATTATTAAATACGGGTTTGATCCTTTGGTTGCAGCGCGTAAAACTAAAAAAACGTTCGTATTGTACGGCACAAGATTTCATCGTATGACACGGTTAATCTAGACCAGGGTAGGGTTATTACGATTTAATAAAACAAATGGTGTAAATAATATTTAACATTTATGTTGACTTTGTGGTCACTGCGCCGCTGCAACAAATCCATCATAATCCATATAAATAAATAAATACAACGAAAATATACAGCTTACGCAGCAGCAAAATGCTTTCCTTTGATGGATGTATCATCTGTCGTACAAAAGGTTAAATGACTGAAGAATATTCTTCTAACTGTTAAGAAAAGAGCAAAACATCAAAAAGAAACGTCAAATACTAGCAGAACGTGGTTTCGATCCACGGACCTCTGGGTTATGGGCCCAGCACGCTTCCACTGCGCCACTCTGCTGCGATGGAAGTCGTTCCTGAACTAATAGTATAACTGTTTACAATTTATTTTCATGTGAAAATATGTATAATTATTCATTTATAAAATATATCTCTTTCTGTTAACAACCTTTGTATATTCAAAACAATTTAATATTTACATAAGAACCATGAAATGCACATAAAATGGCGCTCAATAAAAAGAGGAACTTTATTATGAGAAACCAAGTAACACAGGAAACATTGAATCAGTTTTTTAAAACATTGATTTTATGTGGATTTTATAAACATAATAGTTTGTAAATGTTTTAAAACTATTACTTGATAATACCTTATATTTTTTAATATTAAAATTATGGCAAAGAAACATTATTTTTAACGTTTCAGTTAAATATTGCCAACAGTAACGTTGTATACAACATTAAGAACTACATATTTATTGAAAACGTTAAATGTTATAAAATATCATTGTAATAACATTGTAATATCATTGTATTAACGATTTCTTGCTTACTGGGAATGAAATTTGATCAGAAACAAAAATCAGGAGAAACTTGAATTCGTTAGTTTCGTTATCTTTATTGAAACTACGACTATTTTTACTTACTCTCTCTCTCTCTTTTTCGCATCGTGATTTTATACAGAAGAGAAATATGATTTACTCTATTAATGACATTAACAATTGCAGTTTAAAAAAGACTCGTTGTGAGCGAAGTGTTCAGGTGATGAAAATTTCTGCCAACATAGGTCACCAACTCGCTTCTCGTGACTCATGGCCCGGCGAGGCGGTCGGCGCTTCAACGCGTTCCGACAAGCACGAACTTGCACGGTCTGGTAGAAGAAACGGGGAATGCCTGTTGCGGATGCCGCGTATGTCACGTATCGCTCTTGCGAGACGGACAATCGATAAAAAGATGCCAACGCAATCGCGATGGCCGCGCGCGCAAACGAGATGCACACAGGTTGCATCTATCGGAAACATTTTGCATTTGCACACGGTACCGTGCCAAGGGGACGCGGATAGCCGCGAAAAATCGTGCCCGTGACAAACACGAGTTACTTTGCGATCGAGTTACGTGCGGAAATCCCGACTATACGACGCTTATGTTGCGTGTCCAAGATGAATCGTCGCGACAAATTGCGAAGAATTAGAAGGGGGCGACTGTTTAAATTTGACGCGCCTTGCACGGATTGGACAGAATTTGATTAGCCAATCGAGCTAAACAACTCGAAAACGTCTGTTGTAACTTACGAACGAACAAACCGAAACAGAAGCACGCGGCCGTCGCGTCTGTTTTTATTGTCACGGACGGCCTCGTGCTGGCGCGAGCACTGATAAAAGTGGCCGAAGCTGTGACGGCCGATAAACGAAATTTATCGCGGCGCCTGAGATCTGAAACAGTCCGAAGTACGCGTGAAGTACGTTTGGAAAACAAGTGTAAAACGTCACGGTTCCCTCGTAACCTTTCCCTTACGATTGAGGCAATGAAAGACAGATGGCGCTCCCGGTATCGTTCGCATTGTCTGCTGCAGGAAGCGGAATAAAGTCGGCTCCGGTGAGCGTCGATTTATCATTTTCGACTATCTCGAACTCGTCTTGGCACTGCTGCCTGCGAAATACCCGAGATCTCAGTGAGTTCTCCTGATTCTCCTCCCGTTTTCGGTTGCGTTTAGTCACGATCGACGATTCTTGTTCCGACTCATGTAATGCGGGCATAACTGTTCGCCGAACGGACAGACAGAGGCGGCCATATTCCTCCGAGAGGATGATGCAATCGATGACACATTTCGACCGTATCGTCGGCACCGGAGGACCGTTCGATTTCTCGAATGCTGCGGACACCCGTCGGACGGAAACCGTTCGCGTCGACGTCCGCGATCGTCGAGGAGGCCGAAGTCCGTTCGTCGGCCGGCGCCGCACTCCCTCGCCAGGGTAACGCGCGCATTTTCGCGGACTTTAATCCGTCCGTGGGTCGGGCGAAAGTCGCCAGCTGGTGAGAGCTATTTTGAACGGCGCGATGCAACGTTGCCGCGTTTATTAACCGCGAGAGAGAAAGAGAGAGATAGAGCGAGAAGAAGTGAGAGAGGGGGGGAGGGAACAGCCGCCTCTCGTACGTCTCGTCGACGTCGTCGTCGCTACACGATCGAACAAGTTCAAACACGTGCCTCGCTCGTCCGCTCGGCACAGAGATAACTGGCGAACGCCTCGGCAAAACAACGTTGCAGGCTCTTTCCATTCGACTCCCATTCGCTCGCTCTCTCGCCACGATGGCTTTTTATACGCGTTGCTTGTTGCCACGGCCCCAACGAGGTCGCCGTTCCGAATTGAAATTCCGCTCCGCTTATTGCCGCCGTCGTCGCGATCGGTCCTCGTGCATCGTTCGATAAGTCGTTCGATATACACGGACGAGGATCGACAGATATCGGACATGGCGATCGTATAATTGAAAAAAATCAAATTAAGAAGCGCGTCGGATGTGCAGGAAAGTATGAATACGGACGGTATACGCGAGAGAGAAAGAGAGAGATAGAGACGGTCGAGTTGGCGAGGGATTGGCGGCGAATTGGCAAATGGCGAGTCGCCAATGGCGCTCTGGACAATTTTTCCAATGCGTCCTTCGCTCGGACCCTGTCCGGCCGAGTTGGACAAGAAATCAGGTTGCCGTTCGCGACAACGGCGAGAGAGCGCAGGCAGGCTGGCTGGCTGGCGAGCGAGCAGGCGGCAAGGAAGTGCGGCAACGTCGCGACTGCGTGAGCGGAGATGCGCGGCATGAATAGCACCGACGTTTGTCGGGCCACCGCGTTGTCGGGGCATGGCGGGAAAGAGAGGATCGGCGGGCGCGCGGGGAGAGAGGCGCGTAAAAGTTTCCGCTGCGGTGGGGATCGGCCCTGACGCGGCACCGGGAGGGGACCGCGCTGTGCCGGCTGGCGTGTAATACAAGCAAGGTAATGTTACCGGGTAAGCTGCCGCCCGCGGGGACGTTTTGGAAATTTCGACGAGCGAAATTCCGTCGCGAACGCTCCTCCGGGTGCTCGACGCGAGTCGCCCGTTCGCTCTGGCCGACGGTCGAGAGCTCCTCTCTTCGACTGCACTTTTCACGTCCGTCGTATCTCAAATAAAGCGAGTACACGGCTATATGTTGAGATAAAAAAGATAGAGGACGGGTGCAGGAGGTGCAGTTGTGAGGGAATGGTCGATTTTGATTTTGCTCGATTGCAGAGTGCAGCAGAGAAAGGAAAAGATAGAATCGAATCGTCGGAGAATCGCGAGAGCGACGTAAGTCGGGTCGTGTGAGAACCTCTATCGTCTCAGATGAGGATAAAAAATGGATTGCGACAAATCGACTTTATCGATAGGAGAGTGTCATCGGAACGGCGCGCCTCGACGGCGATTCGAAATAACGATCGGAAAGAGAGAGAGAGCCACGGGCGTAATCTGTAGATAAATAATTCTCTCAATCGGTTTACCGAGGCGAACGATTTACCGCCCGTGTGTTCGATCGGACGTCCTCTTCGCTCGCTGCGCTTCCTTTCATCCTGCGCGAACTTCGTCGTTATCTAGTCGACGAACGGACCGCGTTTGACGGAGGACTCGGTATTGAGGGCCACGATAAGTCCGTGTCTCTCCCTCTTTCTCGAAACGCGTCTTGTTCGTCGCGTCAACGCCAGAGCGCGTACGCACTTTTTCACCACGTTCGAGAAGCGTGAGCTCAGAAGCCCGTGTAATACATATTCCTCCCTCCCCCTCTGGCCATACGATGTACTTCGTTGAAAACGAAGTCTAACGATCGCGCTAACTTCACGAGGTTCTAGAAACGCGATCCCGCCTCTCTCTCTCTCTCTGTCTCCTCGTCTGTCCTGGGTAAAGCTCATTTCTAATTTGCCGCTTTTACCACACCAATTAGAGGATCGCTCGCCGCGCGAGGAAGCACGTGGCGGTCGAGTAATTGGACGCAATGAGAGAACGGGCTAAAAATATCGTCGCGCTAAGACACGGGCTTAAAAGCGGCGAGGTTCGCTCGTTCATACGACTCATTCCGTCGTCTATCTCGACCAACTTCGGGCGGTAACTTTCAAGGTTTCGCCGCCGACGGAGAGCTCGCACGCGCGAGCGAACCTGTGTATATATGTACAGGCTCGCCGTGTTGATCCTTCGCCGCGCGGATATACCCGTCTCGCTCTCTCGACTTGAGACTTCGAATTGAAAATCGAAGTTCGAGCGATCGTTCTTAAACGACCGGTCTCGCTGGCTCGCGAGAGGCCAAAGCGGTACATTCGAAAATACGCGTGACGAGCACGCGCGTGCATTCCAAAATCTTCCGCTCGGACCGCACGATTCTCGAGAAACGAAACGTCGTCGTCGTCGGTGAACGTTGGCCGAGCGGCGGGCATATCGGTGAAATCGTACAACGGCGGGAGGAGGAGACGCGCCGGGAAAGAAGGGAACAGAGAGAGCAAAGAAAGAAAGAAAGAGAGAGAGAGAGAGACAAGGAGGAAAAGATGGGAACAGAGAAAGAGAGAGATAGAGACAAGGAGGAAAAGACGAGGACAGAGAAAGAGAGGGAGAGACGACGCGACGTGACGCTACCCGACTCTCCGCGGGGCGAGGGGACAAGCGGTATTCCCCTCGCTCGTTCCCAGCGCTCCCCGCAGCCAATCCCCACCGGCGGACCGTGCCGTCGCCGACCGCAACGTCACCGCCCCCTCTCTCGGCGCGGCCGCGCGATATCGCGAGAGTGTGCGTGTGCACCCCTCGCCAGCTACACGCGCAGCGCGCGCGGACCTGCCCAGTAAAGCCAGTAAATGCGAGGCTTCCGTTTCGGCGTGTGCGCCAGTGATACAGTGCGTAATAAGCACGGCGTGCTCGGACAGATCTGCGTACTCGGACGTTGTCACAGTCCTCGCGCGCAGTCAAGATGCCGCTCAGCATCGGGGTTAACCTGAGGGTGACCGGCCACTGCAATCAGGGTGGACGCAAGTACATGGAGGACATGTTCTGCGTGGCGTTCCAGCCTACGCCGGACGACAAGGACCTGGAGTACGCGTTCTTCGGGATATTCGACGGCCACGGAGGTGGCGAGGCCGCGACGTTCGCCAAGGAGCATCTCATGGACATCATCGTGAAGCAGAAGAATTTTTGGAGCGACCGCGACGAGGACGTGCTCCGGGCGATTCGGGACGGATACGTCAACACGCACTACGCGATGTGGCGGGAGCTCGGTACGATCGGGATTATGCGCGTTCTCGCACGTAAAAGCGAGCGAATCAGCGCGACGATTACCCCCGGAGTCTCGCGATCGCCGACGGTCGCGTGAACCGGGAGATATAGCCTCTCGAAAGAGCCGCCGCGGTAGCAACGACGGCTCTCGCGAGAATTTCTATCGTCGTCCCGCGTATTTCCCCCACCACCGCGACTAGGCCTGATTAGGTTAGAGTTTAGGTTATGTAACCTTTTCCGAACTATAACCTGAAAAGTGCGACTTCGACGAAGCCGCGCTTTTTTCATCGAACCGCGGAGATCCAGTTTCCTCGATCGGTATCCGTTATTCGTGAGTAACGTGCAACCAGGTGGTCACGTCTCAAGGTTTGAGATCGCTCCTCGACATTTTGTCTATCTTTTAAGGTACTTCGTTCACATTCTTCGACCTTGGCCGCGCGATTTTGCTCTCCTTTATCTGTCAGACGTATCGCGAAACGGCTGTTAATATATGCATGCGTCCTGACCCGGTGTTATTTTTTAATCAGACAAATGGCCGCGAACCGCGTCTGGATTGCCATCCACAGCTGGCACAACCGCCAGCATTGCGTTCATCCGAAAGGGCAAGATTTACATCGGCCACGTGGGAGATTCCGCTATCATATTGGGTTACCAAGCGGAAGGTGAGAGCCAGTGGAGAGCGAAAGCTCTGACGAAAGATCATAAGCCGGAAAGTGGGCCTGAGATGACACGCATACAGGACGCTGGTGGGAAGGTCGTTAGTAAATCTGGTGTCCCGAGGGTGGTGTGGAATCGACCTCGCATAGGACACAAAGGTCCAGTTCGTAGATCCACTCATATGGACGAAATTCCTTTTCTGGCGGTAGCCAGATCATTAGGTAAACATACACGCAGCGTTTCAGCTTGAGACATCTGATATTTTCCTACATACAGGGCGAATTCTAAGTAAAATTTCCCACCAGGTGATTTGTGGAGTTACAATTCTGAATTGAACACTTTCGTGGTGTCGCCCGAACCAGACGTCAAGGTTATTCCAGTCGACGTTAAGTCACACCGCTGTCTCATATTTGGCACCGATGGCCTGTGGAACATGTTGTCTCCTCAGGCTGCAGTGTCCATTGTTCAAGCCACAGACAGACACAATGAGAAGCACTTAATAGCCTCTCAGCAGACCGGGAACGGAGTAAGTTTTGGATATTCCACCTTAATCAACTTTTAGTGTAGCTCAGTTAATTTAACATGATGCAATTAATGATGTATTGCCTGCGGCAAAATGTCTTATAATTGTGGAGATATATAAGTTTACCTGTTGACGATGATTATAAAAAGATGATACGAAATTTCTCAACAGCAGCCTGACATGCAGATGTGGATAAATCCTTCGAAGAGCCTCGTGGACCGTGCACTGGAAAGATGGTCGTCCACCCGATTGCGCGCGGACAACACCAGCGTTGTAACACTGATGCTCGATCCATCGGGACCGTGTCGCAGTGAGGTTAATATCTTTATATACACATTCAAGCAAAATGAGGATGTTTAATTGTGTGACAAAACAATAACGATATGATCTGTGTTTTATAGAGTATTTCAAAGCAATTTTGGTTTTCTTAAGAACAAGATTGAAAAGTACTGGCGAAATTTTTACAGACTCTTTAAAGTAATCTGGTTATGTAATCAAGCAACATATAGAAAATCGCTTCAAATCTTCAAAATTCAAGATCATTTCAAAATAGAATTACTCATGCTCTTCTTGTCATTTCTATTATTTTTTAATATCTTTATACACACACACACACACACACACGCATATATATACATATATATATATATATAAAATTATTGGAAATTTCAAATACAGTTAAAAGTCTGAAAAAGAAATATTCAAGAAATTCTCGAGGGAGACAATTCCTTCGGACTCTTCTTCCTCCTTTCTCCACGACAATAGTTTTAGAAATATTTCAATTTAATTTTATTAAATAAATTCGTCATCAGAATTTCGCCTGAGTCCATCGTCAATTATTCTCAAGGAAAACACAGTAGAGTTGCTTTAAATAACTTTGCACAGTTAAGTAGAATATTTCTATCTTGCTAAAGGTGCTGTTTAACACAAAGAAGGACCGTGTCATACACCACGGCACATACGCGCCGACTGCGAGCACGATACCCGAGAACGTCGAGGATGAGACTAGTCCGAAAATTCCACCTCCGTGCGCACCGATACCACCGTCAATCGTCTCCGCGAATCCCGAGATGGACGCCAAGCTACCGGACTCGTCCAACGGCAATGACGACATTGTCGTTCCGACGTTACAGCTGGAGAAAGTTCTGCCCCCTGAAAAATCAACCTCGCTACATATCGACGTTACCTCGGAATCACAAGAGACAGGAGTGGCGGGCAAGAATACACCAGAGATCATCGACGTCGCCGAGAGTATTCAAGTCGACGAGATATCCTCCAGCGAGATACCGGAAGAAACCGCGGAATTGGAAAATAAGGGAGTGGACGAAGCCACTGCTGTCATGAAGTCGGCCAACCACGAGGGTAAAAAGCAATCAACGAGCGAACGGAATGAAACCGAGGCGGGGCACGATAATAACGCGCAGATTGTGAGCCAGTCGAACGCTCAAAAGTCGGAGCAGTTGAACAAACTGAAAGAACTGCTGGCAGAGACAGGGGTGACGCCGCAGACCGCATTTCCCGCCGCGGATAAAGATGTTCAACCCGTCACGCTCATCGGCAGCAAGCTACGTCGAAGCGGCGTTGTTCCCGTGGAAAGCAACGGCGGCCGTGACAACGGTGAGGCGAGAAACGACGTCGTTTCGAACGGATCAAGGCACAAGCATCCGTTGTTCCCGGCTGCGTCGCCCGACGTTCGAAGCATCAAGCGACGACACAGTCTGAGCTCACAGAGCCGCAACGCTTACGGGGACGTCGCGCCCTCGGACCCAAAGACCTACGTGAGTATCAAGTCGAGGTACAAGGTGCCGAAGTCCCCGGTCGCCGGGAACGCGACAAACGAGGAGAACAACGCGTTGAAGAACGCGTCGAACCGGCAGACGAGTGGCGCTGCCGGGGTGGGCAACAAGCGCAGGCACAGCGCGATCGCCCAAGCGGTCGACGGCGGCTGTGGCGTGCAGCAACAGCAGCAGGAGCCGTGTGTGAAGAGAAGAACTCGTTCGGAGGACCGGCCGAGTCTCACGGACGAGAACGACCCGGCCAATCAAGTGACGGAAGACGCCAGCAGCCGGTTAAGCTGGCCCTTGTCGGACTCGGCGTTGTCGAGGAGCAACGGGGCCAGCGCGACGTTGCCCGGCCAGGACAGACTCTCGACCAACACGTTCCAACGTAGGAGCTTGGGAAAGAAAGCCACACTCGTGAAGACCATCAGGAGGCCGTCTATCAGCGGTTCGAATCGACTGCAGCAGCTGAGAGGTAGTTTCGGCCTAAGAGACTGGGACCAAGGAAGAAGCAATCGGACTGGCAACTGTAACGACAGAAGATTAAACAGGACAGTAGCGCTCATGGGCTCTACGGATACGACGATGCCGCAACGGTGGCTGAGGTTAGTGTTCGACGGATGTAATCTGTCAAACCTTTATCAGACGGGATATTGGAAACAGAATTGCGGATTGGAGATTAGCACTCGACGAGTCGACTGATTTTTGATCCTGGCTTTCTGATTCGATCGGTCAAGTTCCAATCCGCAATCTTCAGTCATCTAAGATCCATTGGATCCAAAGCATTCATTCAAAGCATTGAATTCAAATGGCTTCAACGCATTCCAGCTACGTGATAATCGTTAATTTTCATAAAAGATACTTCAATGTCTAAATCCGATTTGATAACTGTATAGATACTACAGTCTATACGTTTGCATGATCGAATATGAGGAAAATAATCGACAGTGGCAGGTCAATAGGGTCTTAAGGCTTAGAACTTAAAACACCTATTGTAGACCGCAACTAATCTGATACGGATTTCAGGGAGAAGAGCTTTTCTTTATTTCCTTCTATCCGTTTAGATCAGACACGATGGCGGCGACACCTGTGAAGACATTACGTTCGCGTAACGTAGACATCGCCGGGCACACCATATCCGCGCAGATGGTCCATCAGTACGGTGTGGTGAAGCAGAACCGGCTGTCCCTGCCGAACAAGCTGAAGCAGTCTACGAATGGTGGATCGTTGCAATCGAGTAGAGTCAGGTCTTCCTCGTTGTCGTCCAATAAACTTAAACAAACGAATAGTAACGGTGGAAGCGTGAGTACTTGCGCGGCCATTAATAACGCGACCACAGGTTGTAGTTCCACCTCTGGCATAGCTAAGAGAGTCAAGTCGCCTTACAATCCCAGCGCTCGATCATTAAACACGCGATCTCGCATCAAGCGCCTCGGCAAGTAAGGACACATAGTTAGCGGCTCTAGATTTGCAATTAGCTCGAAGATTCTTAGGGTATGACATTCTTACCCTTATTATCATTATTAATTTTTTTTTTTTTCCTAAGCATCTGCGTATTACCGTGATATGAACCAATTGTTACACACACATACACACACATTTTATGTATGCTTTGAAAAAAAACTTTGTCACTTTCATCTTCGAAACTCCATGTTTTCTTTCACTGGATACAGTTACTAGGAGTGGGTTTGTGAGTATAGTAAATTATCAGATCCTTATGTTTTTTGGTTAGATATAGGGTTGAATGAAAAGCAAAGTAAAAGCAAGCGTATAACCACCCTAGATATGTACGTCGAGAATTAGCGTTTGTGCTTTCGTTGCGCGAATTCTTACGATCTTTTGACGTTGCAGTCGTTTACTACGGATTGTACTAGATGCGTATTCGTAATTTTGTTAACGGATTCGATTAGATTTATCTTTTACATTCGTACAAGAGCACGCGTATTGCATTTTGTCTTATAATGTTTTCCCAAAAATAAATTGTAAAATAAATTGTTACGCTCTGCCATTCTCATCATGAATAAACGTGGTTATCGATTTCTTCGTGAGAAATACCACAGTATCGTCTATAATGACTTAAAAAATCGAACTAGCACCGATATCGTCATGTTTGCAGTTTTCGGGCAATTTCCAAGGCACTTCCCAAAGAAGCGTCATTCGTTTTTCCAATCCTCCCCAAATGAGCATTAACGATCGTGTTTTCCGAGTGCTCGTACGCTTCAAACACGTGGAAAACACGATGCAATATCGCAAGTTATTATGCCACTTCACAATTATACCTTTTATTCGCTATACTTTGTCCAACGAGGTTTGTAAAAAGTTATTATTGCACGCTTGTATAGACGAGAGAGGAAAAAGTGAGAAATTCCCTTGTGCTTTCTCGCGTTTTCCGACATTCGAGTATAATACGGTAAATGTTACATAAGACGTTATATGAAAGTAAATGTACACAGAAGTAGCCGGACAATAAGAAAGTAACGAGCGCGAACAGAGAGTCTCTGTCAGAGACACGTGTTTATGTGCATATGTATCCTACATTGTTGCGTTTTTTCAGCCCGTGATGACTTGTTCGGGATCTTTATGTTGGACGGACGAAACTCGCGATCAAACAATTGCATTTTAGCAGCGAATGTAAAACGCGAAAGCGATTCGTTAAAATACAGACTGTAGAGGACTTGTGTGTCGTGGTTTTTCCAGACGAATCTCCGCCTGCAATGACTTCAGAGAAACACGTCGCTAAAAATTTGGTCTTTCGGAATTTAAAATAAGTTCTGCCCCACACGTATTTATTTATTTATTTATCTTTTATTTTATATATTTTTTAAGATATTCATTTTGCTTTTTCCGAGTGATCGTCTCATTCTCGTTGGACGATGATCGGAGATTTGTCTGGGACAACTGACACTTGATCTTTTCATAGACTAATGATATTAAAAAAAATTAAAAAGAAAACTGATGTGCTCTTGATTTCTCATAATGATCATAGTCTTCTTCGTCGGCTCGGGAAAGGCATACATATAGACGTCTCAGGGTGCGTTCGGGGAGACGCTATTAAGCGCTACCGCGTCATTCTATCCTTGTTGTACATGTAAAGACTAATAAAGATAGAATGACGCGGTAGCGTTAAATAACGATCTCCCCGAATGTACCCTCAGTCAAAAAAGAACAGTGCGCTTAGAGTAAGATCCAGCGTCGAACCATTTCTTAGTAAAGTAGTTAGGTACGCAATCACAGATCTGCCTTGGCTGCGTACGGAGTGGCTATTGAAGAATTATCGCGGTTAGTAAATCGGATCGTCTTGAACTGTCCGTGTGAGAGTGTATTTCTGAAATACGGGAGACACAAAATATATCGTAGCCCAGGCGGCCGGGTGAAGAATGATATACGAAGGATGAAATACTTCAATTTAGACCAACAGTTTTTTCTTGAAGATGCATGATCGACGAATAGCGATCACTCGGTACAAAGCGTTTAAATATGACTGTGCGATAGAGAAAATTTAGATTATATTTACAATTAGACGGGAAAAATATACTTTTGCTGCACGGCTAATGCAGATCGACGTAGACTCCGGTTTCTCGCAATACTGAACGTACAACAATTGTGTTCCAGATGTAACACGAGTACCATACCGTACTAGCGACGTAACGAATTAAGTATCACCGGCGCAAAATATATATATGTACCACACGGATATATCTACATAGATATATTAATATATCAAATTTCGGGGATAACAGCATTTATGCATTATTAGTACAGTGTACATCTTTTATGTCATTTATTTTTTCTTTTTGTAGAGTTGTCGTTCCATGCCGTACGAAAGTTAAACTGAAGAAAAAGGAAAGAAAAAAGAAGAAGGAATACAAGGATAATTCAGGGATAAATATTCATTCGGTTTTATTATTCGTCATGAGAGAATTACGGACGCACATGTCATTTCGACTTTGCATTTCGCGTTGTTTTATATTACGTCGATAGATAAGTTGTGGAGCTCGTTGTGTTGTAGCGTTGTTCGATGTTTGTTTAAACGAGAATGTACATTGTTTCCTGTATTGTCCGAGATGCGACAGTTCGGAGAATATATTTAACGGACGGAATTTGTGGAAACTGCGTGGCGGTCAGGAAAACGCATATCTCTTCTGGACATAGAACTTCGAAATTTGTACATTTTTACCGGGATGGGGATGAAAATTCAGGAAATGAGAATTCTAAAATCTATTGACGAAGGATCAATGTTACCTATATTATTTATCGATATCGCGTCGACTATTTATTAATTGCGTTTAACGCTATTAACGATTTGCGGTAGTAAGTTTGTGCGAGTAAATGAGTACGCTTGAAAGAATATTGTCGAGATGTTTAAAGAGAAAGAAAGGGAGAATTATTACTTGCGGAAAATTATCAAGTGTGACACTATAAAATATGTTTGATCCACATCACAAACGATATATATATATATATATAATTCACAAATATATATATGTATGTGTGTGTGTGTGTGTGTGTGTGTGTGTGTGTGTGTGTGTGTGTGTGTGCGTGCGTGAATAGATATATAGATAAATAGAAAAGAAACGATAATGACACGTGCCTACAATATAGTTACCACATTCGCAAACGTGTTTATAATATGGAAATTGTACTCGAATAACCATGCACCACACACAAAAAAAACGCAAAGTATCGACTCGATTTATCTGACTTGTAAACGACAATTCTGTTTTAAGACATGAAGATATTGCGAGGTAAAATCGAATTATCAAATAGACAGATACGTGTGAGTTTGCGAAGCGTTATTCAAAGAACTATTTTAAGAATATTTTTTATTGGTGCATGTGTTCGTATATTTCGTACTATATATAAATATAGTGCTGATAAATGTATTAACTGCAAGTGATTCTGCCGTGAAAGAGAGGAGGGGAGAAAAACGAGGCGTAACCTCGTTACATAGCGTTGAACGCAAATACATAATTATATATAAACATAATGAAAATAAAAACATAATAATAATAACAAAACTGTTGTTGTTATTATTATTATTATTATTAAAAGTTGCGAAACAGAAGCGAATCTCGAATTCTATTTTGTGCGCCTGTAGATTTATTATTTGTTACAGCGTAGAGAGATGATGAAAGCAAGTATTTTTTAAGGGGCGCGAGAAGACAGAGAAAAGATGTTAGATACAGAAATATTATAGCGATTTATCTCAGGTTAAGATTCGTGTAAATTCGATGAGAAACTCGAACAAAAGTGTGATCACATTTATATCTGTATATTTTAATGAAATAAACTGAAATAAATTGTGATATACATATATGCAGGCGTGTATATATGTATATCTTCTATTGAACATCGTAAGCATTATATTATGAACATGACGTGCAAATTTTTGAAATTGGGACGTGCTTAGCTAACACGTAATTCCAAATAGACATGTTTTTCTTTTTTTTAAATACCAAGTATAGTTAATGTAAAGTAATGCTCTAATAATAGTATAGTTACAAGAAATCAGAAAATGTAAACTTCAAAGAGAATCTTTGGTGGCTCAGGAAGCAAATGTTCCTATTTAATATTTTACGCGCCTCTCAAAGTATTTAATCAGCATATGATAAGTCGGTAAAATTTTACTGAATGTGTTCTGAAACTCGCTGAGAAATCTTGGTGTTTTCTATGCCTAGTGTATGTTTAGCGACAGAAAGGTTGCAACACTGTTTTTCATTGACTCTTCGTAAAGCCCATATCAGACTACGGATAACGATTGAGAATGGCCAAATTTCAATCTCAATTTTAATCCGTAATCTGATACGAACTTAACATTTGCAACGATCGTAAACATGGGCGTAATTTACAACGTTCAATCACATATTGGTCGATTTGTCGAATTAACCAATGCGATTGGACATTCTGAACACGGTGTTCAAGATTGGGGGAGCGTGTAAGTGGAACGCATCCTAATACGAACAAACATTTGGTCTGTTCTTTTTAGCTAAACTGGCTGCACTAGTGAAGAAATTTGTATACACATTGAAGTGTGCGCGTCAAGATTTTTACTTCATGTACATACATTTCTTGATTAATGCAACCAATTCGTCTAAAAAGAACGGACTACAAATATAAATACCAGAACGCAACGGATCGTAAGCGCTGCAAGTATTATTCTGGTTTTAATTGATGTAAACACGATATTATCCTGAAGATAAAAGTGTGATCATAATACTTAAATTATTCTTAGCGTAAAGCTCGAGATATAATTAAGACTTACGATGGAAGTAGTCGAACAGAAAAACGAGTCTGTTACTTCCTCCTCCGAGGTTGATATTGTGATTGGTGATAATCTTAATGCGGACAGCAAAAAAGTGATTTCTGAAACATGTCAAAAGCAAAACATCGAGGAATCAGAAGCGAAAAACACGTCTAATGATGCTAAAGACGGAACGAATAACGCGGGTGAATCTGCAGGTTTTAAGAAACCATTTTCACTCATTATCGGTCCAAAGCGAGGTAAAATCGGGAAAATTCGTCGAGTAGTAAATCTTGATGCACCTTCACCGTTGCCTGCACCATTAACCGAATTATCGCCTGCGAACGAAAAAGGGACTGAAAATATTTATCAGACAGATGATGCCAAGTCCAAAACTGATCAGTTGACTTCCAAGAATACTGCGCAAGAAAATGTCACATCCGATGTGAAAAACATCCCTGTTCCATATACAGAACCATCATGGGGTGGAAAACCAATGGAGGAATATAAATTAGAGGTTCTGAAGTCCGGAGTAATCCTGGAGACGATTGATTTAAATGAGAGTTTTCACGTGATAGGAAGATTACCTACTTGTCATATATCTCTTGCGCATCCAACTATTTCAAGGCATCATGCGATTATCCAGTACAGAGCGGTAGAAGATGACAAAGACAGTTCAGAGATTTTGAGAGAAAGCCAGAGAAGCAGCAATCAAAAACCAACACTGAGCCAGAACTCTAAAGGATTTTATTTATATGATTTGGAAAGCACACACGGTACATTTTGGAACGGCCATCGTGTAAAACCTAGAACTTACGTTCGGTTACACGGAGGTCACATGATTAGATTTGGTTGTAGTCAGAGAAAATATATCTTACAAGCACCGCCAGAAGATGAAGAAGAGGAATCTGAATTGACAGTTACTGAATTAAAGGTTGGTTTTAACAATAATTACATTTATACATAATTAATTCAACAATTGCTTTTGTAATATTCTAGTACTGATTTTCCTTTGGTATTTTTGTATCCTTATTAAAAAAATAAAACTTTCAAGCATATTTCTTTTTTTCATGTAGGAAAAACGATTGGAAGAATTGCGAGAAAAAGAACTTAGATTACAGAAGGAAGAAGAAGCCAAACAAAAGGCCAGAGAAATGGAAGAGAATGATGGCATTGATTGGGGAATGGGAGAGGATGCTGATGAGGAAACGGATCTCACAGAAAATCCTTATGCTACTATGACAGAAGAAGAATTATATTTAGATGATCCTAAGAAAACATTAAGAGGTTGGTTTGAAAGAGAAGGGTATGATCTGCAATACCAGGTTGAGGAAAAAAGAATAGGACAGTTTCTGTGTTGGGTGGAGTAAGTACCGTTGTTTCAGACAATTTTTCGAAAGAGAGATTTCGAAGGTTATTTATATAAATAATTTTTAAATATATTCAATTTTAACATATAGAATTTTAAAATAAATTTCAGATTACCCAAAGAATGCTTTGGTGGACGTTCCATTAAAGCAGAGGCTCTTGTCAAAGGAAAGAAGAAAGAAGCTGTTGTTCAATGTGCTTTGGAAGCCTGCAGAATCTTGGACAGACATGGATTATTAAGACAAGCTAATCATGGTAATATACTTTACTATAACTATAATTTGAAATCTGTAGGTTTATAATTATGAAACCATAGTTATGTTATGACTATAGAAAGAGAATGATTAATTTCACTTCTTATAGTATAACTTGGCTATCACTTGTTTTGTGAAATTCATTTAAAGCTTTTCGGCTTATTTTAAATATAATATTCACAAATTTATTCACACGAAGTTTTTACAGTTTTTGTTACTAATAGAATATCCATCATGCTTACAGAGAGTCGAAAAAGGAAAAGCAGGAATTGGGAGGAAGAAGATTATTATGACTCAGACGAAGATAATTATTTGGATAGAACAGGTACAGTAGAAAGGAAACGTGAACAACGGATGAAACAAGCTGGAAAACTTGAAGAAAAAGTCGAGACATATAAGACATTGGTAATTTACTATTTTATGCCTATTAGACATTTTCATATGATATACATGTGAATTTTCAAGAAAAAATATATTTATTTTATGTTATTTCAGACTGAACAACATAACGAGATTGTGAGTAGGATTTCGCAATTAAGCAATCGTCTGAAGGAGGCACAGGAGAGCAGTACTAAAGAAAAGGAATCCAACGAGGATTCGTTAGACGCCTTTATGTCTAGTTTAAATTCGTCTACTTTGAGTAAAAGTGACATGACAAAGATGAAAGTAGAATTACAAAATTTGCGTAAAGAAGAGGTGAAATTGATTAAATTGATAAATTTCGCCAAGCCGGCCAATCTGCCACCTCTTGTTAGCCAAGTACCAACAGAAGACAAGAACTACCAAATGTATCAAAGATTAAAATTTGCCATAAAGAGAAGTTCTCAACTTGAAAGAAGGCGCAAGCTTTTCGAAGCAAATGTGAGTGACCGTTCCGTTACCTATCGTCTTTTATTTTATTGTCTTTATAACACGCGAAAAGTACTTTTTATTTGTTTTTATATCTTAAAAATATAATGTATAATTTTACAGAACAAAGACAATTCTGAAGCAGCACATTCATCAGCTTTAAGTAGTAATGAGATAAATAATGAGGAAGAGGAGGAAGAAGAAGAAGAAGAGGAAGAGGAAGATAATGTAAAAGAAGAGGATGAAGACAAAAGTCGTATTATTGAAGAGGTGCATGACGTGAATGAGTCTAAATGCAAAAAATCTGTTCTCTCTAAGGACGAAGTGAGATCGTATGATAACACTAAAACCGACACTGAACCAACAAGTGCTTTGAGCACCATATTAGATCAAGATACAGAAAAAAGCAAGCCGAATATTGAAGAAAATAAGAAACGAAAGGATAAAAAATCAGAGAAGTTACTCAAAGGTGCAAAGAAGCATTACGATCAAGACATCCATTCGGATGATTATTCCACTTGGCTGCCACCACAAGATCAAACCGGTGATGGGAGAACAAGTCTCAATGATAAATATGGATATTGAATTACAATTAATGTTGCAAAGAACGTTGTAAATATTATTAATAAAAAATCGTCTAATTAGTTATTGAGTCTTACCATTTGAAAGTGAAAAGACATTAGGAATTAATAACAATCGATCTACGAGATCTTTCAACGAAATTTTAGTGTCATTCATATTATCGATTAAGTATTTTATCTTATATTTCAATGAATATATGTCAGGAAGTTTCGTAAATATAAAATAATAAATTTCACACGGGCATAAAATTGATGTTAATTTGCGGCAATTTTTCTAATTGTCTACATTGTTTATGTTATTTATCAGATCTTTTTATACAGGACATGAATGAATTTCGTCATTGGACTGTACAGTGCCACATTGCATTAATGCTGTCCCAATTCCCTACATATAGTGATATCGGAGATTTTAAATTAGGCGCATCATTTCTGAATATTTGTACATCGTGATTGCTGTTTCGGAACATCCTTGACAGTTCACAAAATAATCAGCAGTTATATGATGCATAAATATTCAGAAACGATAATTCTAATTCAAAATTTTCGATATTACTATGCCTAGGGAATGAGATAGCATTGATGCACGACATTGTACGTGAAAGAGAGAGAGAGAGAGAGACAACAATCCCTCTTGGATTCTATCTTTCTCGGATCACTTTTT